TGTGAGCACCATTGTCCCTCTGTGGAGTTTGCCTCTGCAGGTGCTCCCATTAACATGCAACCTCACTGCCAAAGCACAGCAGTTAGAGAGCAGACACAGCACCATTAACACCCAGCTCACACACACCTGCTTTATAATGTGTTTCCATTATTATTTTTCTTTTTTCCTCTAATGGTTAAATGTGTCTGTGTTTTTTCTCTTCAGGAGAAGCACTGTCAACAGAAATACAACGTATCATGCATCATGATTCTTCCACAGTACCAGCGCAAGGGCTATGGGCGTTTTCTCATCGACTTCAGTAAGTGCTGCTTATTTTCTAAAAAGAAATAGAATGATCACAGTTTGAAATGAGAATATTGGGCTCACTTTGACTAAACACTGATGGTTCCTCTTTTCATAGACATAATGACTAAATTCAAACATTTGGCTCATGATGCGCTTGTCTCCGGTTCCTCCTTCCCTGCAGGCTACTTGCTGTCAAAGCGAGAGGGACAGCCAGGATCTCCGGAGAAGCCTCTGTCGGACTTAGGTCGGCTCTCTTACATGGCCTACTGGCGTAGCGTGGTGCTGGAGTGTCTCCACGAGCTCCGCGACCGGCAGATCACCATACGACAGCTCAGCAAACTGACGGGGATCTGCCCCCAGGACATCACCACCACCCTGCATAGCCTCAACATGCTGGAGCAGCGGGGAGACCGGTCAGAAATATACTCCATATTTTTTTTATATGGCCCAAATATAAACAAAGTCGTTCTGCTTGTGCTGCTATTGCCTTTTTTTTTTTTTTTTTAAATTGAAATGCTGATTTTGCTGGTTTTCGGTCTAAGCAGCCAAAACGTTTTACTAAGGTGACCCAGTGTAATTTGAGAAAGACCAAGCGAAAATATGCAGTAACAGTAGACTCAGATTTTTGATGTGGAACAAGTATTTCAGTGGCAGCACCAAGAAAGCAAAACAGAAAAGCCTTTTTATGGAGGTACACAGACATGTCAGTGAAAAGTTTGGTTCCCCTCGTGAAGTCTTAAAAGATTAGAATTGAGATTTCAAAAACAGTCATACAAATTTCGTGACACTGAAACTTAACATTCAAACGATGTTTGAACAAACAGTACATAAACCTATATTTTCACATGCATTGCATAAGCTGGTTAAGCTGCATTACTTTGGCTGCTCCCCAGACACTCAGCTATGATGCTAGCGGTAATGGGATCTCACGTGCTGTCCGGAGTCACACAGACAGCCACTTGTGATTTTAATCAGTTAATCGTCCAGAGCCAGGTTGGACTGCACTCTCCTGGTGTTTGTAGTGGTACCACCAGAGTCAGGCTGTGCAGCTGTTAGGATGTCAGCTCGTGGATCAGTGGCAACGTGCAAAATTTTTAGCAAAACAAAGATTTGTTTTTTCTTATGTTATTAGGCCTCATAGACCTACAAAACAACAACATAAAAGTTGACTTGCATCTAACTGCAAAGTAAACTATGTGCGGAAAAGTCACAGTTTGTAAACTGAGGTGTCCTGGCAGCTTACCAAGCACATGTGTATTGTGCCAGATGTTAAAAAAGCAGCTTCTTGGTACTCTAAACTTTTAACTGTGTTGTCAAAAAAGATCTATTTTATTTATCCTGAATATTTGGATGACTGTATCACAGATGTGTCGATTTGTGTCAAATAATGCAGCGAAGACTGTGTCTTTACTGTATGTGGGCTTACTGCACTTACTGTCAGTTATTTTTAGGTGCATCACAAAAAACACATGCGTGCAGGGTTTTTCCTGAATGAGAATAGATCTTTGGGGGCTGGTGGCTGCGCATGTAAGCATCAGTGCTCTGCACGGTGTAAAGATTATAGTGCAGCAGATAAGTGAAATGATCTTTCAGAAGTGCATATATGCACTAACTCTGTCCCTCTGCAGTTAAAAGTTTTGCCATTTGTCCATTGTTTATTTTAGAAGGTTTTACTCTTGTTTTGGGCTTGTGAGTATAAAAGTAAGTCAAATTTGTAACTTAAAAACTTCTTGGTCCCATGAAAAGCAAAGTAAGCGCAATGAGATGTTGCTCCAATGGCAATGCTGTGCAGGTCAAGGTTTTTTACCTCTTTGAAAGCACCATGATGCATGCAGCTAAGTAATGTATTCCATGCGTGAAGACTTTTCTTTTGTTCTAAACTTTGGCTGACACAACTTGTCTTCACTTTGTTTTTTTTGTTTACACAAAAAATCAGTCAAATGTGTATGTTTTGACATTTAGATCATTCAAAAATGCAAGACTTTGTCCTTCTACTTTATCCTTACTCGTTATTTTAATCATAAAAGAGTTTATGTACCAATTTTGGTCCTTGTATCCACCTGTGAATGATTTATCTGCTGCACTGGAGGTGCTCTGTTACAGCTTTGTCGGTTTTATAGACAAACATGTCTGTTGTGGCTGAGTAAATAGAAGCCCAGTTGACGTAATTGGTTAAAAAATAGTTTAACTGCAGTGCTCGTTATTTTCCTTTGGCCCGTGCTAATACCTCTATGGGGAAAGCAAAATGTTTCTATCCAAGGAAAAAACAAAAAAATCCCTGAACAGTTGGCATAGCTGCACATATCTGCACATTTACCTGCACAGCCATATTTGTCTGCAATGTATCGATGCTTCAATGTAGAAAAATGTGCGTCCGGAGGGCTCATGCTCCCGTCTGTTTTTGCTTTGACTTTGTTAGACTCATCCTGATGCGAAGGGAGAAGCTGGTGGCCAACCACATGGCTCGTCTAAAGGCCCGGCCACGACAGCTGGAGGTCGACCCCGAGTGTCTCCGCTGGACTCCTGTCATAGTAACCAACACCGTGGTCTCTGATGCTGATGGAGATGATGACGATGATGATGACGAGGAGGAGGAGGAGGAGGAACCAAAGGAAGAGACTCGCAAGGAGGTAAAGATTGCCATTGCATTTGTGAAGATAATAAATTTAGTCAGACTTGCTTTCTGGTGTAATTAATTGAATTGTATATTTTCTAAACAGATTAAGCCGAGTCACAAGGTCCCACAGATGTCCTGGCATGTGCGGCAAGGGAAGAAGGATGAAGAAGAGGAGGAGGAAAGGAAGACCTTTCTAGGATTTCCGATTGGCCAAAGCTCTCCAATTCCCCCTCCAGTCCGATGCCCACCGCCTGTACCAGAACCACCACGACCCCCTCCGCCAACAAACGGCGAACGCAGGCCACGAGGGCGCCCGCCCAAAAACTGGCCTTGGGGTAAGGTGAAGGACAGCGCGCGGGTGGGACGGCCACCCAAAATCCGTCCAGTAGAGGATGAAGATGATGAGGACGAGGACAGGTCAGAGGGGGTAAAAACCACAGGCGCTGTCAACAGCCCGCCCTCCCTTTTCTCCTTGGACAGACAAGCGGACACGACAGCCTTTCACACACTCGACATGAGCAGGCACCCTTCCATAACCCCCACGAGACGAGGCCGGCCACCGAGGAAAAAGAGAGGCCCGAAGCCCAGACTGATAGAAGGTCCCGGAGAGGGTCACCCACAGCTTCCTGTGATTCCCAGGCTGAGCGAGTCTTCTCCCGTCAGGAAGAGCCGCTTCAGTGAAAGCAGCGAAGAAGAAGAGGATGACGACGATGAAGATGACGAAGAGAGGGGATGCTCCCCTCCTATGCTCACCAAGTCAGGGCTCAAATGCAAGGTTAGACATGAACAGTTTTCTATTTTCAGCTATCATAAAGATGATGATGATAATCGCAAAAGTAGCTTCCTGCTTGTGAAGTTGTCAGTTTGCTCTAAAGTAGGGATGCA